CTCTACTACCCACTGGTAATAAGGTCACACCACTGTACTCTCAGTGGATGTCATGTAGGGAGTAGCAAGAAGAGACACCTGTCCCTCTCAGCCCTGGGGGTGTCAATGGTGGCTGTGGGAAGCAAGAACTCAGACTGTATTGAAGAATCCCTGTACGGATGGCTGGAGTCCATGTGGAAAAGTGGACTTGTAACCAATCTTGGCAGTAATAAGGAGGGACCTCCCACTTTCTCTGGGGAAGAATGTTACTGGAAACCAGCAGGCACAAGATTTAAACCATAATCGGAAGTGTATCACACCCCAAATGGCCAGGCTATAACAGAAAATCACTCATCACAAGAACCAAAAGTATTTAAATAAATTTAAACACAATCAGTTGATGCCAGCATTGAAATGACAGTAATGTGAAAATTGTTTGACAAAAATTTTAAATCAGCCATCAAAATATGCTTCTATGAGCAATTATGAATACACCTGAGACAAATGAAAAAATAAAGAGGCTTAGCTCAGAGAAAGATTTATAGAGTAAACAACAGGAAATTTTAGGGCTGAACAATATAACAAAATAAGGCACTGCCCAGCACAATGGAGGGAGCAGAGGGAGCAGAGAAAAGAATCAGATTATACTATACTTGGAAGATTATGTGTGGCATGAATATAGAAATATAGAATTACCCAATCCAAAACACAGAAAACAGACACCCCCACTCCTAAAAAAATAAATAGAAACATGTATGACAATAATAAAAAAATCAAACATTTGTATCATCAATCCTCAAAGGAGAGAAGGGAAAACATGGGCTGAAAAAGTTCTCAGTATTTTTTATACAAAAGAAAACTTTCCAAATTTGGAAAAAATTTAAGAGTTTTGGGAAGTTGAAAAAGTACCAAGTAGGATAAACTGGAGAGAGGGGCCCATATTAAGTCACATTTTATCAAACTTATAAAATTAAAGAAAAAGAAAATGTTTAAAAAATAGTAAGAGAAAAGGTGAAAGCAATGGAAAGAGTAGATTTTCCATCAGAACAGTAGAGGCCATAAGGAAATGCCTCAGTGTTTTCTTAATGTTGAAAAGACGTTAAAAAGAAAGAACCACACACTCAGAATCCACAATCCACTGAAAGTATCCTTCAACCACACAAAGGAAATAAGAGCATTCACAGAATGTGGAAAATGAAGAAAATTTGCTACTAGTAGACCTACCTTGAAAGAATGAGTAAAGGAGATTCTCCAAGAAGACAGTGAACAATGAAAGCTTACTGAAGTAACACCAACACCAACACCAACACCTGGAAAGAGAGAGAATATGGAATGCAAGAAGGCAGGTGAATATGATAGACTATTGGCTGCTTTCTAAACAAGACAAAATAAAATGTGTACGTGAGGGTCCAGAAATGCACCCTTGGGCATTTATCTCAAGAAAACTGAAAGTTAGGGTCACATGAAAACCTGCATTCAAATGCTTGTCACAGCTGTAATTGTCATGGCCAAAAATAAGAAGCAACCCAGCTATCCTTCGATGAGGGAATGGTTTAATAAACTATTAGGAATCCCACTTAGCTGTAAAAAGGAATACACTACATATTGACACAACAGACTGGATTCATCATCACAAAATCAAAAGCAATGAAAGTAATAAAAAAAAGAAAAGGAGAAGCCAATCCCAAAACATTGCATGTGGGATGATATCATTTATTTGACAGACTTGAAATCACAAAATTATGGATTAGTCAGCCAGAGACCAGGATCTAAAGAAAAGGTAAGGACTAGTGGTGTGTCTTGCTATAACAAGGTGACCTCAGCTATATCCTTGTGGAGAAGGATATGTTTTGTATCTTAACTGAACACTATCAATATCCTTGCCTTTTCATTATAGTTTTGTAAAATGTTACCACTGGGAGAAATGGTAATGCACACTCCGGATCGTTTGTATCATTTCTTAAAATTGTATGTGAATCTAAAGCTATTTGAAAATTAAAAGTCTAATTAAAAACTTGAAAGGAATCTTCAGATACTCAGAAGGTTTGCAGAACTGAGGAGCAGTTCACTCAGGTGAGATAGTACTGAAGCAAGTGTTTCTGAGCTAAGGGTTCCCACCGGGGTCTGGGAGGAGGCTTTCTCATCAGTGATGTCTCCCCCAGCCCCACAGGAGAACAAACAGAAGAATTTGATTCTGAATTCAGAAAACAAACTCTTGTCTGGCAAATCAAATTGTACAAACTGCAAGTCTATCACAAACAGAAATTTTAGCAAATCAGCATTTTCAACAGTAACTGCCATCAAAAGAAGTCAGCATCAAATGGATTTCAAAGGCAGTGTCTTGGTTGTCAAGCACAAGGCCCTCTTTCTTTTGACCTCATCTGTAAACCCAGCTTTTAGCAACTTTCTTGTGTGGTTTTACTTCAGTGCATTCTTCAAATCTTCTGTTTTTTTCTTGTCTCAACTAAGATTTGTATCAATTATTTTACATGAACTAGGAATGAATTGTTCAATGAAAAAATGAAAGCTAAAAAATATTTCCTACTTCATATAGTCATTCTTCTTCATTGAAGATATCCATTGTAATGCAATAAAGCGTAACTCTATGCAAATTATTTTGAGTATAAGTAGGTAGACTATAGCTTCTGTCTTAGGATCTTAGAGGTCTAAGATTTTGAAAAGTGGAGAGCCACATTGAAGAGCATATTTTATATAATCTAAATGTTATTTACTTTTAAAAAATGATTACAAAGAAAACAAAGAAGTAATGCGCTGATTTGGTTTCAATGGAATTCATGCCCAGAGGCCCATGACCCTGAGCTCACATTGTCCTACTCCCCATCCATTCCAAATCTGGGGTGGTGACTTTAGCCACTACAATATTTGAAAATGATTCAGCTATCGCATCCCCCAAAGGGAAAGCTTTAACCCTAGGCAATAATTTCTCTTCCTTGAGAGTGCAAGATGAGGACCTTGGTTCCCTCAACTGTAAAATGAGTGCTGTGAATGAATTATTACCAAGGTCTCCAAGTGCTAAGGCTCTGTGATTACCTGTTTCGGCACACAGAGCCAAGTGTCCTGCTGTTCATTAAGCAGTATTGAATCTTGACTCTGACCATGAACTGGGTGACTCTGCCCTGGATTAGGAGTGAACCAGTCAACACTGGATCCCATTTCCTAAGGGCCTGGACCTTAAGGCATGAGAAGATGGGCCTGGCATAGAAAAATGAAAGCTGTGCGTCAGCATTGCCACCTATCCCTCCACCTCGTGAGAATGACTTGTCCTCAGGGGAACTGCAATCAGACTCACTACTTACCAAGGCTCCTTCCAGGAAGCCTTCAGAGACTGCACCTTTCTGCTGCATCCACACGGAGATATCCTTTCTCTACCAGAGGCTGCACCCAGCCTGGACCATCCTACATCTCAAACCTTTCTCAGCTCACATCTCTGCTATGAGCAAGATCATCTTTCAAGGCAAACACCAGCTCTGGATTCAGAGAGCCTGCAGATGAGGAACTCCAGCAACTGGGGTCTACCCCCTTAGAGGGGGATTTGGAGTGTTCTCTGAAGGAGAAAAGGAAGGGAAGGAGCACAGTTGGAGGCTACTGTCCAGATCTAAGGGGTTCAACCCTGCACAACTCTGGCCAGTTGAGACTTAGCCATTGGGCCTAGAAACAGTTATCTGTCCCCTGGCATATGGATGTTTAGGGATGAGAAATGCTGTAGCGGATACTGTGAGGCCCCGTGAGCCTGCTTATTGGTCAAACGGGCCACAATTTCCCACCACCTAGGTCTGTGGGATTGAACACATTTGTGGGAAATCCTGAAGTCTGTGCCTAGACCCCAGCTCCCTGAGCCTCATTATGACTCCCTCCAGCTGAAATAGAGGAGGAGAGGGGAGGTACTCCTGGAGGGGTTCAGAGGCAAGTACACGTCTGTGGAGTCAATTTCCAACTTGCTTCTTTCTCCTTCCTGTGTCCACACTTTTCACAAGGGTCCAGCAGCTTCATGATGAGCAATGGCACATTCAGAAGCTAGCACCAAGTGCCTTCTGAGAGAAGCTTTTCTCAAAGTTTCACTGAAGAGTCTCCAACCCAAGACCCACCAAGCTGTATAGGGCAAGACAGGGCTTCAGGGTGGAGTCCACAGTCTTTCGTGAGAGACATGTGCTGTCTGTGCTGTTAGATGAGTAGTCTGTATTGGCACAGAGTGGCCTTGCTTTGTCCTTCTGCAGTCACAAGGCCAACCACTGGTATTCCAGCGGCACCACTTCCAAGATTGCAGAACACTTGCTCTTATGTCACCTAAATTGATCTTTGTGGTGACTCTGGACATTTTACAGAGGCAGCAGGTGAGATTGTGGGCTGCTGGCCGCAACCACGCAGCTGCTCCAGCTTGGATCAGGATCTGTCTCTACAGCCTCCCTTACTTCGACCTCTTCCCAGGTTCCTTTCCCTCCCAGATGCTGCTAATGGTCCTGCCTGGATGATCTGCTCAGGGAAACCAGGGACGCCATCTGCCCATGAGGTGCTCAGGTGCTCTAGCCTCATTGGAAAGCACAGCTCAGCCTAGTCCAGCAGAGGGACAGAGGGGAAGTCTTCGTGGGGACATAGAAGCCATTCCTTCTCTTCAAAACTGTCCCTGAAGAGGTTCAGAGCCAGGCCGGGGATATAGCTCAGCGGAATAAGTGTCTGCCTGGCAAGCATAAGGTCCTGAGTGTGATTCCTGGTATCAAACAAACGAACAAAAAGAGGCTCAAAGCCAGCCTGATAGCACATCTATTTAATTTCTAAAAAGAAAAGGAAACCAAAATTGTGAGTCCACTATAAGTATAATATAAATTGAATAATAATAAGCCAAGAAAAGAAAAAAAGACTAAAACACTAAGATCTGTAAATGTGCAATGATATATAACAGGTTGCTCCTTTAATCAACAAGGAGCAGAAAAGAAACATTTAACTTTGCAGAAGCTGATGAAGGCTGTATCTGCTGGGCCTGCTTCACATCATAAACTCCAGCACACAAAGTCAGCTTGCGGAGCCCAGTTCAGCTCTTTATTTTCAAGAACTCTTCTTGGTTTCCCCTGTTGTTACTATTATTTTGAGAAAGTGATACATACTCATGAGAAAGTATAAAGAAAGAACATTTTTTAAAGAGTATAATGCTGTAACCCAGGGGTAAGCATTGCTAAATTCATCTGTATTTTCTTCCAGTCTATGCACATATATTTACATAATTGAGATTATACCGCATGTGCAATTTTATAGCCTGGCTTTTTTCACTTAATATAGTGTTGTAAAAATTTCTACAAGTCGCTGACAATTTTAGAGAAGCATTTTAATGGCTATGTAATTATCTATTATATGACATAACACAACTTAATTATTCCCTTATTGTTGGACATACAATTTCTGTATTTTTCACTATAACAGATAATATTGTCATGAGTGTCATTACAAGGAGTCTTCAATGGTTATGACTATTTTCTTAAAATAGATACTCAGAAAAAGAATTTTTGAATCAAATTATGAAAATCAAGGCGATAGAGTCAATTAATAGTCCATCAGTAGCTGGAACATGCTTGCTTCATTTTTCCCTAATGGGCAATGGTTATTATCATTATTTAAAATTTTTCTATTTTAATAAGTAGCAAGTATCTTCCTTTATAATAAATTCTCTCCTTAATTATCAGCAAATTTGAATAATTTTATGTTAATTTGCCAATAATGTGTCTGTAAATAACATATTCATTTTCTTTCCTTTTCTGTTAAGGAAAACAAAATACTTTTAATTTGTTGTTTTCTCTTGAGTTTTTTCTCTTGTGAAATTAAGCTGTATTTATGCCAAATAATGCCTTTTCTTGGCACATTTGTGTAAGTCCTATTTCCTAACCCCAAGCTCTGGAGTCTCAAATCATTGAATATTCTTTTAAAATAGTGTGTCAGATATCCATTTAGTCATTTCCAGAAGACAACAAATTTCCTGTGATTTATTTTATTATTCATATACATCAAGCAAGCAACAATCAAACAAAGCATTCATATATCAGGTAATAATGTCCTAAATATCCTTGTTTTGTTCTTGTTTTTTTTGTTTTTGTTCTTCTATTCTGTGCTTTTGTAGTTATTTCCATAAGGCTTTCATTTGCTTTAATAACCTGAAAGGGGGGACCACAAGACCCCCTCTCCAAAATAACAAAATTTCCTGCAAGGTTACACTGACTACTGTATCCCTTCCTACTTGATCTGCCCGATTAAGTCCTTGGATGCAGTTGAGTTATGTCTAGACTCTCTTTTCTGCTTCACTGATCTCTTTATTCTTTCAATAGTATTACACTATTCCAGCTATTACAGGATTATAACATTTTAAGACTTGTTTCATAGCTGTTTCAGCTGTTCCAATGTGTTCATTATTCAAATACATAGTATTCTCCAAATATACAAGCAGAAGCAATCATCCTGTAGCCCTCGAAGAATGAGATGAGCAGCATCTCCCCGTCAACTGAGATTGCCTTTTTACAATAGATTTGCAACTTTTCTACAATAGATTTGTGAGAGTGGAATACTGGTAACCTATGGACATTCAAAGTCATCTAGTCCATCTCTGGTTTTATCCAATACAAAGATTGTAGCTGTTGCTGACCATCCAACTGCCCCTGTTTGCTGAGTGTACCCATTCACTCTGAGCAGCTCTCACATTAACAGAGGCCTTTTTTAATTTTAAAAATAAAAGGAGGAAAACATTAACAGACAGACAACATTTTACAAAATAGCAAAAGAACAGTACAAACAATGCAGAGTTACAAAGTGGTAGGAAATTAACAATGCTTATTGTATTACATATTGAGATCTTCAAAGTGGTTTCTCATGAAAACAGATAGAGACGTGCATTATTGATCAACCAAGGACTCACTGACAGTTTCTTTCAGAAAACAAATAGAAGACAGTAGAACAACCATGTTAACTATCCTGTATATACATACATACAAAATTTCTCCTTCTTTCCCTTCTCTTTTCCCACACCCCAGTTGCCCTTTACCCTTGAGTGCTTTCCTATCATTTCACAATGTCTATCATACCTCCTAGTTTAAATTAACTCTTTCAGGTTTTACACTAGTGAAACAATGCGGTGCTTGCACATGTATGTTTGATTTATTTCACTTATGAGTATGGTCCCTAGTGACCATTTATCTATAAAAGCCAACAGAGGCCTTTTTTACTTTCAGAGCCACAAGAAGTGAGTGGATACCACCTCCCTGGGGACATGTCTCAGATTCTATAGATCCAAATTGAAAGCCACAGTTTGCAGAATAAGTCCCATCTATGGAAGATGCAAGAATGATGTGTTCTGGGCAGTTCCTTTGCTCCTTGTATGCTTTAAGAAATGCCCAAAGGACGAGAATTGTGATTACAGCATCTCTCTTAACCCAGACAGAGGATCAGGGCACCTAGATAAACCAATTGGGCTGATAAAATGCTATTCCAAATATCAGAAAGTAACTACAGTATACTTAATGTTCACTAAAAAATAAGATTGACAGAGAGGTTAAAAGAAATAGCATTGATTTCAGAAATTAAAAATTACAATTTGGGAACACAGACTCAAGACAGCCTTGTATGTCCTATAAGGCAAATGAAAGTAAGGGCTTTTATAAAGGACTGAAGGCTGTTCACTTGTTAGTCAGAAATCCTAAATTGCAAACACATTATGATTTGCTAATCAAATAGCATATTTCCAGCTAAGAGATGCTGAAAGCGAAGTTGATGGTTAACCTTGGGTGTCATCTTGACTGGACCAAGAGATGCTTAAAAAGTTAATAAAGTGCACTTGTAAGCGTGTCTGTGAGGGCGTTTCCAAAAATGATTGGTTGGTGGGTCAGTGAATTGGGGAAAACTTTCCCTGAACATGGGTGAAACCATCCCATTAGTTGCAGGCCCAAATAGAATAAAAAGCAGATGAAGAGGGAATCTCCCAAATGAGCTGGCTTGACTCTTCTTCATCAGAAATGAACAACAGACTGTAGAATCTTCAGCCTTTCAGCATCTTATCAGTGACTGTCCGGGAAGCTTCTACCCTTCAGTCCTAGACTAGGGCTGCAACATTGGTCTCTCCTGTGGGGCTTCCAGCTGCTTAAACTGAGTAGCAGTTGCTTTTTCTGGCTATTGTGCCTCCAGGCAGCCACAGTGGGACTACCTGACTTCTATGAGCCAATCAAATAAATTACAAATGCCTCATCTTTTCTCTCTCTCACTCACATACATCCTGTGAGAATCCTGACTAATACACCCAGTCGTTCAACATCTACTGAGACAGATGTGTTTTGACCTTCAGCAGGTCTGAGTGCATTTCTCTTCAAAGCTCTCTGCTCCACTTTAGAAAATCTTAGCCTTAATCACTTCATTTTCTTTCAGGATAGGCAGACAAATAAATAACCCCTAAGAAGCCTTCAAGTTGTTTATCATCCAGAAACTTTGCACACACTTTTGTGAAATACACACTGGGTCTGTGTACTGTCTTATAGCAATCCTCACATGATAAAAATCAATGACTGGAGAAAATACAGAAAAATATATTTTTTTTTTAAATAGAAATAAAGATACCGTATTCTGTGTACATCGTTAGCTTAGATCACAAAAAGAGAACTCAGGGTTCACCAGTGATAATTCAATGCAACAACTATTGTTGAGAATTTTAAGTGCAAACAATCTTAAGAAAACACAGAAATAAATAAAACCAATTTTCCTCAGATGTAAACAGAAATAAATGAGGTGTGAATTCCATGAGGTGGGGACCACAGCTCTGTCAGCTTGTCATTCCCAGTTCCTGCACATGATACACACCTGGTAAATGCTCCTGAATCGTAAGCAGAGCTCTGTGTGTGACTGAGATCCTTGCTGTTTACAAATGAAGCTCCTGCCTGTGGTCTCCTTTGGTTCTTAGGCAGTGAGGTGGCACTGTGTGGAGTGGCCTTGTCACTCCACACAGGTCACACTGATGAGGACCTGAGCTGCAGCTCCAGGAGCTCTCTCCCAAGACTCTGGCAGCCTCCATCTTTATTAACACTCCCCAGAAATCCTGCTAGTGGAAGAGTTGCTCCTCAGCATTCTCATCACAGAAAGAAACCACTTTCTTGGAATGTCTGCTCCCTGATGACAATAGTAAACAGATGGCTTGGATTCTGAAAACCTTTGTGGGATCAGTTAGGAGAAGTAGATCCCCCATATCTTCAATTGTAGCCTAAATCTCTGGAGAGGCTAAGAGTCAACCTTAGGACTGCACCAAGGTGAGGCCATGACTGTTAGCCACTTGACCTCCTGCTCATCATGGCTGTTTGGCTCATGAGGGTGGCCATGATGTCCATCAGGCCTGGTGGGCACTCTGAGGAAGCCCTTTCACTCACTGCAGACTCTCAGTGGGTGGAGACAGTGGTCAGGGTAGCACTATGCTGCTTCCAGAAATTTCCCACAGCACCTCACAGCCCCAGAATAGCAGGCCTGTGGTGAGGGAGTGCGGGTTAGGTGGGGGCTAATCTGTGGGTCATCTTCTAAACTAATCTCACCCTGCATTGCTTTCCGAAGCTGAGAATCCAAAATGGAAGAAGAGCAAGTCATAAAATGAAGGCTTAAATTATCAAGTCTACACATTAATAATGCAGTCTCTAAAGACTTTGGGCCCAGTTCATGCATCAATGAATTCAGGTGGCACTACATTCATTGGGCACAATGGGTGGACATTAGTTCAATACCACTTTTCTTAGCATTAATACGGGTTAAGGGTACAGTTTACATAGTACCTTCTTCCCATTGGAAATTCTTGCTGAAAGCAAGAACTCAGTGTCCTGGAGACCCATTTGTGCTTGAGCCTGTCTGGCTAACATGGACAAGAGCTAACTCACATGGGACTCAGAGATAGAAGCTGCAGCCTCAACCTTCTAAACGTTTTACTCCTTGCTGCCAGATAACTGGAGTCCTATGAAGCAACTGATGCCCTGGTCCTGAGAACACTCTGCAGGGACTCACAGCTTATAACAGACCGGATGTTCCACTTCCTTCATTACCCTGACATCTCCAAGGGGCCAGCTGCAAGGGAGGT